ATATATATATATATATATATATATATATATATATATGTGTGTGTGTGTGTGTGTACAAATCCTGCTTTATGTATTTAATAAAATGAATTAACAAGATCACACACTATACAACTTTATAACAGAAGGCAGCACAGATGGTTTGAATTGGTGCACTTAGCGAGATTAGTAATATTTACACTTATCCACATACTATGGTTGCCACTACATGTCACCAATACAGCCCGGTATACTGTCATAACTGTATATTTATTTATATAACCACCCTAAAGCAATTTACTCAAAAGCCAAGCCCTCGATACACCCAGTGACCTTAAGTATATGCCTTGATGTTAGCAGAAGATGAATCATCATATTTCACATCTCTAAATGTACTGTTAAGAAATGTTTCATGAGTGCTCTGTCCACGCCTAAAACATGTAAACCTATAGACAACAACAACAACAACCATAATAATAATAATACTAATACTACTACTACTAATAGTATTAATAGTAATCATATTTATTATTATTATTTAAAATAATAATAATAATACAATTTCACTAACGTCTTTAGGTGTAATTCCGTTAAGTGCATGTTATTGGACAAGGGGTGGGGTCAGGGGCGAAAGGGGCGTGGTCAAGCGAGCTGTCTAGCACGTGCAGACAATGCACTATCATAAATACAAGCCAAACATCCGAACGCTGAAAGAAAGTTTTGCGCTTTTGGATTATAACGACAAAACTGGATCACTCTTCAATGGACTTTCACGTGTTTTAGATAAAACTCTTCGTGGATAACTTCCTGACATAGGTAAATGATTTTGGAATATTGTAGCGGGAGTTTTGGTGCGTCTGCTCTCACAGTTGAGCACAAAGGGGGAGTGGAGTATTCCTTTGTTCACCATGCTATCAACTGCCTGCTCACAAACTTCACTTGGCCACGCGACAATGGAACGAGAACACAGTAAACCTGGCCTGTTTGGGACTTTTATTTACTCACCACGAAGAATAATCAACAAAATTTGAACTCACGTACATTTTGGCCCTTCTGTCTTAAACTGTACAATCATATTAATTAGATTTTTTTTTTTTAATTAGAAAACAGGTTATTAATATAAGTTTTTGACAAGAATTAGGTTAGCAACAGGTAACTTAGTTGTTTTTCAGTAATTTTGTGTAGCAATTCTGATTTTTTTTAATGTTTCTTTTCATGAGTATATTTTGACATCTATGATTTCATCCATTTAACTTGTCACAATAATTAAAATAACAAAGGCAATATATTTTTCGATTTATTTATTTTTTAAATAAAATGCTTAAACGTTATTATTTGGACACATACTTTTAATCAGGGGAAAAAATAATATTAAACAGAAAGGTGAAAACGATCCATTTAAATATAAATTATCACAAAATGAGTTACAGAAGGTGCACATTAAAGTTTAAATGCAGAGCAAATCTTTTATTGCTTCATAAACTGCTCAACTGTAAGAGAAACTATGGTAACACTTTATTTTACAGTATGTGTACTTCCCTGGTACATACATGGCAAATATCTTGTACCTACAAGCAAATGAGTGGTAACACAAGGTACTTACCTGAAGTGTATGTACATGGTAACAAATAAGAAATACGGCTGTACTTAACAGTCGTACATGCAATTAGTAAGTACTACGTATTTACCATGTATATACATTAGTAAGTACAGTAAAGTATCTAGTTACCATGTATGGGCACTACCTGTAAGTGACCGTTATTACCCACACTTGTCTGTATGTACAAACTAATTACCATGCATGTATGACTGTTAAGTACAGCCGTGTTTCTTATTTGTTACCATGTACATACACTTCAGGTAAGTACCTTGTGTTACCACTCATTTGCTTGTAGGTACAAGATATGTACCATGTATGTACCAGGGAAGTACACGTACTGTAAAATAAAGTGCTACAGAAACTATTTTTGGATGTTTAATTTTTTTTATTCCTTCTGCAATCCCTTCAATAGGGGAGCATCTTTTTATTGTCAAGACTTTTTAAACACGAGGATCAGGATCATAAAAAAAAAATCATGTTGAGGTCACTGGTTTTACAGTACATTATGTGATGATACTGATTACAGGTGTTCTTGGTACTTTCTATAGTAATAAAAGCCATAGGTCACACTTGTTCAGTATTACAGAAGGAAATTGTTGTCGTCTTTGTTCCTTTACCCATGAAGTATACAATAGATAGCTATTTTAATATTGATGACACTGAGGCCTAAGGATGAGACACAATGAAAACAACATGTTCTGTTTAATAAGAAAACGGTAATGTGCAATGCAAAGAGAGCTGCAGTAACCGGATAACCCTGAGAGCAAGAAAAGAGAAATAAAAGTCAGTTAAAAGCTTTTCTCGGAACTAACTTTACTTTTCTTGGACTTCCTTGCGATTAATTTTCACCAGTTGATTTTTAATGGATGCATGAATCTGTTAGGTGTCCTAGCACAGGTGTAGTTTATAACATTTGACAACCACAAATTTGAGTAATCATACTTCCATACTATATAGTAGGTGAAAAACATTACATGAGAAGTATTGTATGTTCAAATTTACAGTATTAATAAAACAATTGACAAAAAGTACCTTAATGACCTACTACTACTGAAGTGCTCTTCCAGTAAACACTGTAGTACAAAAGGTACAAAAGCTGTCACACTGGTGGAACTTTTTCAAAAAGTACTTATATGTACCATTTATGTACTAATATGTACACTTTAGTTAATAATATGTACCTTTAAGGTACCCATACACCTTTTAGGGGTATAAAGGTGTAGGCTACCTTTTGAAAATGTACCACCCCAGTGACAGCTTTTGTACATTTTTACTACATTCATATAGATCTTATTTAGCAGTTGCAAAGTAAAAAAAGTACCCACTCAGAGAGTATGTGATTTCAGATGCATGCAGCCAAAGTGTCCAAATACAATTTTTTCCCTATCATGCACTGCATTTGTTCTTTGTGCAAACTGTTTAAAGCCGTCTGCCAGGGTTTAGTGCTGTGTGTGTGTGTGTGTGTGTGTGTGTGTGCGTGTGCGTGTGCGTGTGTGCGTGTGTGAGAGAGCAACAGACATGCTGTATTAATATATGTCTGCTTAGAAAAGTTGCTACAGAGATAGCTGTGTTGCCTTGCCACGAGGATCAGGATCATAAAAAAAAAATCATGTTGAGGTCACTGGTTTTACAGTACATTATGTGATGATACTGATTACAGGTGTTCTTGGTACTTTCTATAGTAATAAAAGCCATAGGTCACACTTGTTCAGTATTACAGAAGGAAATTGTTGTCGTCTTTGTTCCTTTACCCATGAAGTATACAATAGATAGCTATTTTAATATTGATGACACTGAGGCCTAAGGATGAGACACAATGAAAACAACATGTTCTGTTTAATAAGAAAACGGTAATGTGCAATGCAAAGAGAGCTGCAGTAACCGGATAACCCTGAGAGCAAGAAAAGAGAAATAAAAGTCAGTTAAAAGCTTTTCTCGGAACTAACTTTACTTTTCTTGGACTTCCTTGCGATTAATTTTCACCAGTTGATTTTTAATGGATGCATGAATCTGTTAGGTGTCCTAGCACAGGTGTAGTTTATAACATTTGACAACCACAAATTTGAGTAATCATACTTCCATACTATATAGTAGGTGAAAAACATTACATGAGAAGTATTGTATGTTCAAATTTACAGTATTAATAAAACAATTGACAAAAAGTACCTTAATGACCTACTACTACTGAAGTGCTCTTCCAGTAAACACTGTAGTACAAAAGGTACAAAAGCTGTCACACTGGTGGAACTTTTTCAAAAAGTACTTATATGTACCATTTATGTACTAATATGTACACTTTAGTTAATAATATGTACCTTTAAGGTACCCATACACCTTTTAGGGGTATAAAGGTGTAGGCTACCTTTTGAAAATGTACCACCCCAGTGACAGCTTTTGTACATTTTTACTACATTCATATAGATCTTATTTAGCAGTTGCAAAGTAAAAAAAGTACCCACTCAGAGAGTATGTGATTTCAGATGCATGCAGCCAAAGTGTCCAAATACAATTTTTTCCCTATCATGCACTGCATTTGTTCTTTGTGCAAACTGTTTAAAGCCGTCTGCCAGGGTTTAGTGCTGTGTGTGTGTGTGTGTGTGTGTGTGTGTGCGTGTGCGTGTGTGCGTGTGTGAGAGAGCAACAGACATGCTGTATTAATATATGTCTGCTTAGAAAATTTGCTACAGAGATAGCTGTGTTGCCTTGCCTTGGGATGTTGAAATGTCTTGTTTTGACATGCCTTGTCTTCCATAACAAAAAATAAAATAAAAAAATAGGAGAAAAAAGACATTGCAGGCATCAGAAGACAGCACAGCTAATTAGTCACTTTTGTGCGGGAAGCGTGGTGAGATGATGTCACCGGCAGTGAAGTAATTACTACTCATAAATCATAGTGTGTGAGAGGTAGTGGTAGAGAAGCGAATGCGGCTGTTGGCAACTCTGTTGTCTTGAACTTATGAGCCCACTTCTGTCTCCTTGGTGGAAAGGTAAATACACACCTTCTAGCACGCAGACGTACTTTAGGATGAGGGAGATGAACCAACGCTTCCTAACGGCATCGCCCCCCAACGGTTTCCAGTGTAGTTATGCATCTGTTCAGCACAAGGGTCTTTATTTCAGAAATTAATTTCAGATTTCAGAGGATTTCTGAAGTAAAAGCACTCCGGCTGCGCCGTGACATCAGGCATCATCCGCAGCATTAATTTTCTTCGCAGCATCACAGCAGTTGTTTTGGCACCCCCGTATGTTTTTAATAGTTTGGTATCTTAGGGCCTTGTCAAGATCTTGGTGGAGGCCTTTGAAATTAGAGTGAGTTTCTGTCAGCATATGCTTTGATTTACTTTCTCCCCGTCTATCTCTCTCCACGCAGCCAAGAAAACCTGATGTTTTACTGTCCTGAAACAGTGTGGATTTGCTGACGGTGCTAAACCGAAGGGATGCACAGGCTGGGCTCCACAGGCTCTGCCCAGCCGTAGCACTTCTGAAGTTCTCCTGCGCTCTCTTGTGACAAGCTGTCGGTTTATGACTGGGAGCAACTGGTATATGTTTGTGTCATGTTTGAGTGCGGTTTGAAAGCGCACATACGCAGAAGGGTAGCTTTGCGTCACGAATGCTCGTCGATGCTTTGTTCTGCAAGAGTTTGTTGTCTGTTGTTTTGAAGTGGGGCTGCCCTAAGTTCCTCACACTTTTGTGCATTTTGAGGGCACATCTGGTTCTCCAATGGGTTTTTTCAATGGAGTTGACAGGGTTTTGTGAGTGTATTGGTATATTAAATGTTTATGTTTATCATGCAGGCTTAACTAGGGAGAAAAAGAAAGAAAGAAGGGCTGGGAACAGCAGTGACTTGGTTGCGAATTGCACATAAGGAGCACATGAACCTGGTGCTTTATTCACAGCTCAATGCAAATGCAACACAGATGTTTCTGTACTGTACTGTGAAGTCTCCTCTTCTCTCTCTTCCCATCCTCTCTCCTGCTTTCTCATCAGAAAATCCCTTTATGGTTCAGATTGGCACAGGACATCCAAGCTTCCTTGTTCCACCGAGCATAGCCTCCTCTCCTCCTCTTGCCTGTTTTCCATTGCTGCTCCTCACTCACACCCTGACACCTACATATTATTTCTGTTTTCTTGAACGTGTTCCTCTGTTATTCCCTGTTCCTTATTGGTCGACTCCTGTGGAAAATGTAATTTGAGCTGAATGAGATACATTTCTATG